AATCTAAAATAGAATCCACATCCTCCAGCTTTATATCATTCCATTTATGTGCATTCTGTATTGGTATACTGTTCGGAGCATCTCCTCACCTCATCACCTGAGCCCTGCATCACCTGCTGCCTCACCTGCCTGCATCCTGGAGACAAGATGACAGCTCCTCCATTTTGCTGAAGCTGCCTGTTGCTGCTATCTGATCTTCAGCGCGTGAAACAAACAAATAACGGTTCATCCACACAGCAATGTAATAATCAATATATATTTACTGTATATTTACTGAAATGCATCATGTACTGTACTTTTCTGTCAATAAACAGTTTATCAGATTGTTAGCTGTGCTTTCACATTTCAAAATAAAGATTCTATCAAAAACGGCGCAAACGCACTCATAAACCCTCACAAGACGCACGTTCATTCCTCTCCATAGTGCCGCACAACGTTCTCCATCATCTATAACTTTTATTATAATGTTTATAGATTGCTTTTATCCGAGCCGCCCATACCTTAGCCTTTCAGCTTGCCATTATCGCCTTCAAAACAGTCCAAAAAACTACAAATCCCAATGCTCTCTCTGACCACCCGCTCACCCGCCCCTCTGTTGACCCAGAGGTGTCAAATTTCACAGCTCTGAATGGCCGCTGAGCTAGAGTAACATGTAATCTGACCTACTGCAGTCCACTGAGCAGCACAGAGTTGTAAAAGATAAGAGCCGCTGGCCGGGAGTGCTTATGATTTGGAGAGCTCCTGTTTGGCAAAAAGTGCGTCTTTTTTTCCTGGTGCGCGTCTGGACAAAACGCTGTATATCTCACCGATGGAAGCACGCAGAAATGTGACAATGGTCTTGTTTGAAAGAAGAGACCCTACTCTAAGCTTTGTGGCTGTTTGCGGCTGACTGAAGCAGTAGGACGAGTAGGAATGTGACCCATACGAATGTTTGCTCAGAGGTAACAAATTTCACATCGCGATTCTATTGAAGATCATTCGATCTGTGATTGTCACACAATGAAATAATCTACATAGTCAAATTCCTGAGAATGAGAGCTTTCTTGTGATATATGACTTGACTGTGAAAAATATATAAAATAAAAATACACATTCTTAGGAAAAATTATTCGCAGTCGATTTTGACAGGTTTTGAACCCGTATTCGGGTCCGCAGAGTTTAATGCACTTTAATTTGACATTATAACAGTGCACTTTAAAAAAAAAAAAAAAGTGTACCTAAATGTCTTGTAAAAGTAAAAATAGTCATGAAAGTGTAAGTACACTTAAGTGTTTTCTTATATATATATGTGTGTGTGTGTGTGTGTGTGTGTGTGTGTGTGTGTGTGTGTATACATATATATAGGTACCACAAAATATATTTTGGTTTAAAATTATAATATTTAAATTATTATTTATTTGTTGAAGTAAATAATATAATTTATATTAAACTCTCTAATATTTAATTTAGCCGTTGGGACTATTGTCTTACCTAATTTTCTATATTAGATTTTTTTCTCTTATTGTTCTCTTTAATATAAATTTAGACTATAATACATTTACATTTATTTGCAATTAAAATGCAGTTAGGTGCCTGAAAACATTATATTCAGTTTTCAAGTATATTCTTTTAAAGTATATTTGTTTTGTATTAGTACTCTTTAAAAAAAATAAATAAATGCTAAGGTGTACTTCTTTTTCACAAGGTAATTTAAAAATTGTTTTTTTTTTCTAGCATAGAGTTTCTACTGCTAGCAGGACTGTCTGAGCATATTTGTTGAGAGGTTTTGAAAATAATATGTTGTCTGGTCACTTCCCTATATTTATGTGTGCGCAAGGCCTTCTTTGGCCCTTGTCCCTCTGGCCCGGCTTTGATGAGTGTTCATGATATGAATGAATAAATACGTAAGAGGGCTAATGAAGTTTGAGCCCCATGCTGGATAGAGGGGGATAGTGTTTAAGAGGTGGTAGGATAAAAGGGGGCGTAATCAGGCAGACAGTGTTGAGTCAGGCAGATTGGCAGACTGCTGTTGGCGTACATGGATAGGCAGACGGATAGAGCAAGGGAGAAAAGCAGCTTGATTCTGACACGGATTGCAGACGCAGAGAGTGTATTACACGTGTGCACAGGAGCCTAAAACAGGAGCCCTGTCACAGGTCAATGGGTTTAATCCACACAATCCACACACACACAAACCCTGCCTGACACACGTTCCGATCCGGCCAAAGCTCTGAATGTGCAATACAAAATGGCCTGACTGTTGTATCTCAGATTAAGCGGTGAGAGACAGCATTAAAATAACAAAAACTGGACTGTAAAGTTGAGCCATTCAGATTTTAATGCATCTCTAAGAATATGCAAAATGAGCAAAAGTAATCACGCCTCCTGTGATTTGCATAAGTACGCAGGTGACACCTTCCACACAGATTGAGAACACCGAGAGCGTGATGACATGCCACTAGGGGGCGCGTGTCACTCTCACGCACAGTGGACAAAAGCGTGTAGCAGCCGCGCACTCACGCCTACACGCGCCTAAACGCACAGACGCTCCCTCATGCAAATTCAGCTGTACCCACGGGAAAAACCAGCACATCCTCTATATGAACTGGACACTCGGTTTAAACACAGTTCTGGTAGACAAAGGGATTGTAAACGAGCTATTAGCTAAAACAATAAGAGAAAAATATAGAAAATTAATTAGTAAAGACAATAATAGTTGCAACAGCTAAAATAATAACATTTCAACATATAGCCTATTATAAAATATATTATGTATTATATACTGAAATATGTATGTGTGTGTGTTTGTATAAATAATATTATGTTTTGCTGAATCTTATATAATTCTAATAATATAATATAATATAATATATGAAATTATATAAGCATGCCAGCAGACTTTTTAAGCAAACTAGTGAATAAAAAAGTTGACAAAAATAAAACAAAACAAATGATCAGTCACAATTTTATATTTAAATGTCGTACTTAAATTGACACTCTGATGATACATTTAAAATGTATTTTATAACATACATTTAATATGAAATATGAATTTTATATGGATCTCTCTCTCGCTCTCTCTCTCTCTCTGTGTATAATGAGAAAAAACAAATAAAAACAGTTACAGTTTTATATTTACAAGTTATGTATATAAATATCATATCAATATAACTGACACAAATTGCTCAGATAACATACAGTACATTAAAAATAGCAACATAACAGCATTATATATAGAGAGAGAGAGAGAGAGAAAACAAAAGTCGAGTAAAAATCATTTTGAAAATATATATACACGTCATGTACAGGTTATAAATAAAATTGACACGGATTTAATTATTTTTATTTTATTTTGTTATTTTCAATTTTTTTCATACAATTATGTTTGCTTTTATTTGTTTGAGTCGAAATTAAATTCACCCGTATTCCACCTGTCTTATTAATACGCTAAGCATCTTTACACTAATAAGGTGGGCATGTTGCCCTCTGTATATTCATAATTGACCTAGAGGCTTCATGGCTGTATGAGTTCAGCTGGAGCTGTCCAGGCTTTGATGGTGAATGCGAGCGTTTGCCTCATTTCCTGTATTTGACTCTCAGTCGAGAGAGAGAGCTAGAGACACACACACACACACACACACACAGAGCGAGACAGCGAGCAGGGGAATTACACTGACCGACACACACGCGTCTCCCCGCTGACTGCTGACATTGTTGACGTGCTCACTCTCCCAAACCTGTCACGAGCGAAATACTGGAGCTCCAAAGCATCGACATCGCGCTCCCCCAGAACTCATGGGTTAACAGGTATGCCTCTCTCACCTTTCCACTATATCTCTAACTGCCCTTCCTCCCTTCTGACCACCGCACAGGCTTCAGTCTCAGCGCTTTTACAATCAAACTTGACTTGTCATCTGGATGTATGGCAGAGACATGAGCTCGCGCCTCAACACAGGCATTCAGGTAAGTTGAAGTTGTGAGTTTCCGCGAGGCCGGTGCGTCTGCGTTATTTTCACGTCATTGAAGTGGTCTGCGTGACAGCAACCTGTTTGACGTCTCCAGGTGAGAACATGTTCACGACAGATGATGCACGCGCTGCGAACAGCTGTCAGATGTGCACTCATTCATTCAGGATAGAGTTTTATTGGAGTGATGGGAGACTTTCTTTTTTGTCTTGTCAACCTTTTGAACGCGCTGATTACGCTTCACTTCACAGTTCACCAGGAACTTAATAGCCTACTATTTATATTATAACATTTCCCCTAAGTTTTAATCCTAAAATCTTGTCCTTTGGGGGTCAGTGCATGTGGTGGTGGTATTTAAATGAAAAGCTCAGCTTTGGCAGGAAAGGGTTTAACCCCACTCTCTCCTCCCCTCATTTAACCTCCAAAAGGGGAATTTCTCCAGCTGGAAATTTATGCTGCGTCAACACCCTAAACCTACTACCAGAAAAAGGAAGGGGATTTTTTTTTTTTTGGACTCACTTTACTATTATTTTATGTCCTGCATAACTAAATCCATGGACTCGGAGCCTAATACTTCCCTCAACTCGAAGAGAGCGGAGTATATTCGAGTGTTCGCTGAGGGAAGCGTTAGGTGACACTAGCGCTGCTCTTTGGGTTATTGTCTCTTTTTCCCCCCGTCTGCCCCCTTAAAGCTGGTCAGTTCCGTCTTCCTCCATTTTCTCCTCGCTGACGGGTTGGTTTTAAGGGGAGCGACCCCACTTGTTTGACTCGCCGACGGCGGAACATCAGCGGGTTTACAGATAAACGTCAACAACGTATTCGAACGCGCGTCTCTGAATTGATACATTTGAATCGAGCGTTACGCGCAACAAAGTATCATTCGGCGCGTCTGTCAGAAGAATGTGGCACTCTGTATTGATTATTATGACGCTTGTTCGCGCCGTGTCGGCTCTTGTTTGCTACAGGTGCACCCGAATCTGATTGGTTAGTTGGAAATATTTGTAACTGTTCAGGCGAAAATGTCGAATTCAGACTGTTAAAAACAATAAATGTTACTTATCAGCGCATTTCTGTGTGAAATTAACTAGTTTAACATATATTACGACATATAAGAAGGTAAATAATTGGAACCGTCATGCTTTTTAAAATTACATTCATGTATTTATGGCATTGTAACTGTCTGCAGTGCAAAAATGAGTTAGCTGAGCAGAAGAACTGGTTATGTAAGGAACTGTCCTCATGCCCATCTACACAGAATGAAGCCAGTGGAAACATGACAACTTCCTTTTGCCAATCACATTTTAGGTTTTCTCCACCTATCTGACACTCATGACCTCCATTTGAATTGAATAATGAGTTAATTATCATGCCAGTGGCATTATTTATACTATTGTTGATGTACAGATTGTAATGCGTCTTGATTTTAGTGGTGTGTTGTTGGTGTGTGTGTGTGGGGGGGTGTGCCTGACCATGCTGGCAGGTGTCTGTCGTAGCAGAACAGCCCGTCCACCCCTATTTCTCTCCTGGGATGGAAAACAGTAATTTTAAGGTAGCCTATAATCATTTAATGACACCATGTGCTGGACTTGTTACTGACCAAACCAGGGCAATAGATTCTCATATGGTCTTTTTATCTGTTATATGCTCCGATAGTTTCAAACTGTTATTAAGCACTAAAATGTGGTCTTTTCTTTGCTTTCTTCTTTTACTTGACTATAAAGTGTGTAGATACTCCACATAATTATAATGAGAAGCACTATCTAACTCTTATTCTTGCAGGTAAAAGTATAGTGATTGTGTTCCTGCAGCTCGTCTGGTAAAGCATGGTGCTGACAGCTCCAGGAGTTTGATTCCCATTGAGCACACAAACTCATAAAAATATACCTTCATAAATATACTTTTTAAGGCACTTTAGATAAAAGCATCTGCCAAATATATAAATGATAGTTCTTTGATACACACACACACACACACACACACACACACACACACACACTCTGTATTTGTGTATTCTTTATAGCAAGAGCTCTCATTCTAGAGGGCAGTGTTGGTGTTGTGTGTCAGGGTCGTGTCCAGGTGTTTTTGTTTAATGGAGAATCCGTGTGTTTGTGTGTAATTGGGAGAACATTTTAGGCAGGAGGGGACTCTGGTCCACTATATGCATATTGACTTCCTCACAGGTGTGGTTGTGCTGTGTCAACAGAAAGCAGGGGAGGGGAACTGGTTCCTACTGCATGGGGTAAAGGGAAGAGAGGGGCTGAAATAAGAGTAAAGAACAGCATTGTGTTCTAGGAACTGCTTTAATGAAGCTAAAATATAATACCTGTCCTCACTCAGCACTTAATAAGCTGTTAAAAGAAAGTTAAACTTTATTGTTGGCTTACTGTCATTACCACAAAGAATAATTTAACAAAGCCATCTGAAATGACCACTAGTGGCAGTAAAACACCAATAACTTTTATTCCTTTTCAAACATTATGATTACAGGGGGGCTTTATTAATTAATAAAGACTTATTTTTACACGGTTCCTTTTGTATTGTATAAAGTGCTATATAAAAAAGGTGAATCGACATTAATCATTTAGGGCCTCTCATTAGACATTTAATTTCCAATCTGCTGCGATACATACAACAACCCGCATAATAAAACATTGTCAAATTTAAGTGTCTCGTATTCATGTTGCCAGATTCACTCACTGGACATTTCACTTTGAAGGTGTCGTGTAACGTATAATATAATTTTGATGAAATATTACCACAGGCATATTTTTACAGTCAGTATGAGTTGGACTAATTCCATGCTTCAAACAAACAAAACAGTAAATGAATGCCCCATAGACTTCCACAGAGTTGAAAGTTTCTATTGAAATTGACAGCATAGAAGTTTCCAAAAGAACTGAACTTGTATTTAACCCTGGATATTCTTTTAATGTGCTGAATTATGCATGTCAGCGCCTAAAGCTCAAGTTGCCTTATTTTATATTTTTCCACTTTATATGAGGGAGTCCACCATGTTGGAGTTTGTTTTAATTGTTTGTACTGCTATGATGTTTAAGCATACATGTTTAACATGTCTGTGGATGTGCGAGTGTATCTTGAGGGAGGTTCGAGCAGTTAGTTGAACAAGAAATTGCAGTGTGGTGTTTATTCAGGGTGGTTGCGGTTGTTAATCTGAACATTTGCACAGAAAGGCAAGATATGGGGGAGGAGGTGGCTGATGGTGCAGAGGGATAGAGAAACAGATAAAGAGGGGGTAGTTCAACTGGCCGTGTGTGTGTGTGTGTTCATGGAGAACGGGTGCTGATGTGGGGGGGCAGGGTATGGGGGTGCAAGCTGACACACAGCTGAGTGTGTATGTATGTGTGTGTGGGTGGAGTGTGTGGAAGATGGCTGCTCTCCCCGGGCTGTGGGCTGTGTTGTGTGGGTAACAGGTTAGAAAGCATGAACCTGCTACAACACTGGGGACCTGCTTCTCCCCCTCACTTTAAAAACCACACAAAGCCCAATATTCTATTTATCAGCTTGGAAACACGCTGTACATTAAACATCTGTACAGTACGTGTCTGATGCCTCCCATCAATATTTAAAGCTAAACGCAAACATGACTGTTCAACACACAATTGTTGCGTTTAAATTTTTTATTTTATTTTTACACCCTCACACCAGATGTGCAATCAAACTCGTCCCTTACCAAAAAACTAGGAGTTCTTTTGTGTGAATGGGGACGCATACAGGTGCGCTTCACTCCCTAGAGCTGTTTGGGGGCCTTTGTGTGTGTGTGTGTGTGTGTATAGAGTGACAGCTGTGCTCATCAGCCACTTAGATGTGTTCATCCCCCTAGATTAGGCGCTCGGTGTGTGGGTTAAACCGGAGCCGACCTCCCTGGAACCGCCCCACAAAGACCTGTGTCCTCAGGTGCCTTGTGAATATTTCAGTGGGACCTCTCCGCTGTGAGGAAAGCCCTGGGGGAGAAACCGAGTGGAAAAAAAGCCCCTGGAAATGAGATAGCATACCCTGGGCAAGCGCTTAGCAGTGGGCTTTACATTTCTAGGCTGAAAAAGAGGATGTGGTTGTGAGGTTTTTGTTTCTGTTTTTTCCTCTTCTTTTTCTACTTGCATTCTCTCGGATTGTCCATCTTGTATAATCGGTAATTCTCTCTCTCTCTTTCTCCGTCTACTGGTGAAATTCAGTCCAGCTTGGTGGTTCGTAAATCGTCGCGTATTCCTGCTTTTGGGTTTGAAAAGTAACAAACACAACGCACACACAAACTCATTTACAACACCCCCGCCCCGTCACACTCAGTCGTTTCTGGCTTACTTTCTGACCACACGTGGTCTTAAATACAGGATGTTTACACACGGGGAAGTATGCTAACCCTCACCAGTTAAAACCATACTTGTCTTCATCCTCTTCAGCCCCTTTAACATGGTGATTATGGGTTTAGAGCTAGTAGACTTTATCTAATGTACATCCCTGCTCAGCTTCAAATGCCAGTGTTAAATGAAGTGTCACATATTGTAAATATGGCATGTGTTTGTGACGGTTACTAACTTTCCTCCAGCAGTAGTGTCACACATTTGTGTTTTGAGGACAGTGTGACGTCACACTCAAACCGAGAGATTCAAATCGGGTGACCCAGAGAGACACGCTCATTCATATTTACACAAACTGCTATTCAAACGGTCTCTCTGAGCACATGACATCTTCATTTTATTTCACAGTAATCTAAATGATCACAAGTATGATCAGGGTTGCCAGATCTGCATGACCGATCTAGCTTAGAAATAACCCAAATGACTTGGCTAGCTCAAAAACTGGCCCAAATTCAAAATTCTAATTTTC